TTTTGTCTTATTTACTTTATTAAATGTATGTTATTATTTTAATGTATTTTAAAAATTAGTTTATGATTTTTTTTTATTTGAATGTAATTTATTTAATATTTTTATTTAAGTTTTGTTTATTTATATTTTTATTCATTATTATTATTATTATTATTATTATTATTATTATTATTTTCTTTTCTTTTTTTTTTTGTGTGTGTGATATTACAGACAATATAGAACAATAAAAAAGACATTAGACATTTTGACTTGAGGGAATAGGGAGTGCATGCAGTAAGGGTTAAAGAGGGTTAGGGTTATAAACAATAAGATTTTGCGGACGAGGTTAGGTGGTTGTACCCATTAGAGATGGGCAAGATTAATCGATTAATCGATAATTGATCATTAAGAATTTCATGGATTACGTTAATTTTAATCGACAAACCAAATGTAGGTTGCTGTGCGTAGCGTGACCAAACAGGGGTCCGTACATGTGTCTCTCTGCACTCAGAAGGAGCGAGACACAAACAGTCGGTCAGTCTGCAACGTACCGAAGCACAAATGCGTATTTAACGATGATTTGTACAAGAAATTCCACGCTTTCCGTTGCATTCGGGACAAGTGTGAGTCCATGTGCACAGTGTACAAAGCAGCACATATGTTTCGTGTCCAGTGGGAAAAAGTTTTACCAGGTGAGAGTCGTGCAATGTCGATGACGATTCCCCGCCTCCCTCCCCCCGTACAGTGTCCTGGTTTTGACAAACGCAAATCTGGTCACACTAACCTGTATTTCACTGAGTCATGTCTTTTAATCCGACAGAAACTGACCGCATCAGCGACACAAGAGCTGTAATTTTATTTTCGCTGAGTTTATGCAAATTAGCGATGCGGTTTTAAGTTTCGTTTCTGTGAGAGTTGCGCAAAACTGAATTAAACACATTATAATCTAAAACGGATTGATGTGGCTCTTGAGTCATTACGGTTTATATGTCGTAAAGTTGAATTTATTTATGCAGATTAGTAGTGCAGATAGTAATAATAATGATGATCATTTAAATATAAAAACGTTAATGATTAATCGATAATCGATCGTTAATTCTTCCGACGATCGATTAAGACAATTTCATCGAATGCCCATTCCTAGTACCCATCACCAGAAAAGTTACGCAATGCACCTTTAAGTTAGACTGCTGATTCAGGCCACATTTTAACAGCTAAATATATAGGAAAACTGCTCAAATATATATATATATATATGCATGTATATATATATGTGTGTATATATGTATGTATATGATATATATATATATATATATATATATATATATATATATATATATATATATATATATATATATATATATATATATATATATATATATACATATATATATATATAAATTTGGTTACGTTATTTATTTTTCATGCATCTTTTTTACATAGTACATCATTGTCATATTTTACACAGAATATCTCCTAAATTTTTACAGCCTTTTTGCTTAAATACACATTACAGTTTGGACTACATATTTCACTAAAACATTAACAAGATTATATTTAAGAATTTTACTAAATAAGTTTTTTAGCTGTTAAATTTTGGTTTATAATTTCACGTCCTGACTAGACACAGGCAGCAGATATACATACACAGTGATAATTATATAACTGCCACATGCAACCATAATGTTACCAAGGGTTAAAACTGAACTAAACTAAAAACAAAAGAGAATATGAGTAATGACACCTTTATTTTGTTTAATTAATGTTTACACTGTCAAAACAATGCCTTCCTTGTGTGTAAATTGTCTATGTTGGATGGACTTTTGAGCTGACGACATAGAAAGAGGTATCCTGTTTTATAACTTACCGCTACTTGCTGTGTTTTTGCACTTTTCTTCGCCTATTTTTCCACAAACCGCCACTTAACTGACATAAAACTATGATTAATATTTACCACAGGTACTCTCCCGCTCTCTCTCAAAGCAAGTCATAATTAGAAAAATGTGAAAACCTGCCGTCTATACCGTATTACACTTCTCCTGATTTGGCGAGCTGTTGTAGGTCACACGTATCACATATAAAAGTTTATCTATATGAACCAGTGCAGAGCTTTAGTTTTATCAGGCGGGGCATCTGTAGTGAGCAGCTGTGGCCCTGAGCTGACAGCTGATTGGAGGAAGAGAGACAGGAAGTGCTGTATACAGTTGCATTGCTAAAATTGAGGTTTTCTTGGTTTCTGTCCCTATGTCTGCAGTGTACAATAGTGTGGCAAAGAGTGAGTGGAGTGCAGTGGTGGAAGGTAATGAAGTAGAAGTATTAAAGTACATTTTACAGAGGCTACTTTTTGGTTGTTTTGGTTTCCGTCCCTATGTCTGCAATGTACACAAATGTGGCATCGAGTAAGTAGAGTTCAGCGGTGGACAAGTATTAAAGTACTATATTTAAAGTAGAGTCTTTAGGTATTTGTACTTTACTTAAGTACATTTACAGTGGGTACTTTTTGGTTTTCTTGGTTTCTATCCTTGTGTCTGCAGTGTACAATAGTGTGGCACTGAGTGAGTATAGTTGAAAGTAATGAAGTACAAGTATTAAAGTACTGTAATTAAATAGAGTTTTTAGGTATCTGTACATTTAAAAGTGGGTACTTTTTAGAGCAGGTATCTGTACTTTCTACTCTACTACATTTTTTTACTCGACTGTAAAGTAAAGTAAAGTAAAGCAAAGCAAAATAAAAGTAAAAGTAAAGTAAAGCAAAGCAAAATAAAAGTAAAAGTAAAGTAAAAGTAAAAGTAAAACAGAGTAAAGTACTTTTGACATGATTTTAAAGGTGCAGTGTGTAACTTTTCTGGTGGAGGGTCCGTTAAATCCTTTTCTGGAGATGTTATTGCTTTGTCTGGAATGTTTCATAGTATGGCATTAAACCTTTCTATTTTCATGAAGACCAGACCAAGTCACAGGTCAGATCTGTGGAGAGGCGACCCCGGTCACACTCAGAATAGCTGGTTTTCTAAGTATTTTTGAGTTATAAAACCACCTGTAATTTAATAAATGTAAGACAGAGCTGTTTAATGTCATACTGCGGAACATTCCAGGCAGAGCAATGACATACCCAAAGAAACAAGCAGGTGATGGACCCTCAAAAAAGTTTCAGAGTACACTTTTAAGGGTAACATCCTGACTAAAGGTTTTGAGTTCAAGCGTTGGCTTTGAGCAAACAAAAATACACAAATTCATGAGAAAAAATAAGAAATTTGTATTGCATCTGTTAACCAAAATCTGTATAATTTTTGAATGAACAACGCTGTCGAAATCTGTGTGAAATACTTTTACTTTTAACTCTTAAAGTACAATCTTAAACGGGTACCTCAACACTGTGTAACTTTTCTAGTAGACGGTCCACCACTTGCTTGACTCCATGTTGCTTTATCCTGAAATGTTCTATCAGGAGTTTAATTTACATGTCTCCATGGAGATAATCATGCCACATCACCAGGCCAAGTTACAGGTCAGATCTGTGGAGAAGTGGACCTGCTCACAGAAATAATGTGTCTTTTTTGCTATTTTGAGAAACAAATGAATAAATGAATGCAAATGAATAAATACAAGATAGATTACAACACCATCGCCATGGAGACAAGCAGGTGTACCTTTAAAGTTGATTTTTTTCATGTGATACATTCATATTTGTAACTTTTGCCTCTGTATCTGTACTTTTACTTGACATTGTGAACCAAGATTACATAACATAAGACAGTGATGATATTACCACATCGTATTTTAAGGGAAGTTGCTCAATAGTTGGCATAGTACAGCCACTGTAATACGATCCTTGTCAGAGTTCCTCCTCTACAGTGGTCAATCGATACTTTATGCTGCACTGACATCATGCTGGGAGTGCTCTACATGTATCTCTACAGGCGGAATGCTCATCAGTTACCACAGAGACGCAATGCAAACGTTACACCGACTCAAGATGGCAGTCAAGATCCTAAATGTTTTGAATCGATGAGCTCCCTTTGACAAACTGTCTCCTTATGTAAAGTGTCGTGGGAATCATGAAAAGCTTTATACAAGTGTTGTATAAAATTGTATTGCGTAACTTTTCTGGTGGAGGGCCCGTACACTGCTTTTCTCTGTGGAGACCTTATTGTTTTTTCTGGAATTTAACTTTTCTATCTTCACAGAGACCAAACCAGACCAAGTTACAGGTCAGATCTGTGGAGAGGCGACCCCGCTCACAGTCAGAATGCCTGTTTTTATAGGTATTTTTGGTTACGTTCAGACTGCAGGGCTTAATGCTCAATTCAGATTTTTTTGTGAAATCAGATTTTTTTTGCGAGGTCCTTCAAATTTCCAATTAAATGTGACTTGTATGTGATCTCCAGTGTGAACTTTAAATGCTCCAAAAGTGTCCCGTACGCGCACTGGAGGACACGACACCATCACTCACAGCGAGCATGCTCAGTGTTTACGGGAGTCACCTAAACACTGGGTTTGTCTCCCAAAATACGCTCCAGTTCGTCGTAAAATGGACAGGTTACACGTCCACGGTCACTTTGTTTGTTTGAGTCTTTAGCCTCCTTGTATTTGGCTCACAGGCTCTTTATTTTTTGTTGACATGGGTACCTGGACCGCCTGTAGCCTCGCTCGGACATTTCTTTGACACCTGCAATTTGGTCTGAATACAACGATCCCAACAAATATGAATGAACTTGCTAACCTCGCTTTCCCTCCATTCACTAGACTCCGAGCCTTACCTGTAGGTGGGATGAATGCTACCTGGAAGTCACGTGTCAAAAGATCGGATATGTATCGGTTTTAGGAGCACATATCCAAGTGGCCTGGGTCATTAAAAGATCCAAAATCCAATCCAAAATGTAAACAACAAAATCTAACGAGACCACCCCAGTACCATCCCTGATTATTATGCAGTATTATTTAATATTATCATAAGATGCTTCTGTAATTCACCATTATGTGTCAAAACCAGCAATAAAACACAAAAGAGAATATGGACTCACCTGTGGCTTCAGCTCAGTAACATGAAGAGGCAGGAAACTCGAGCGAGGAGCGCCACCAACCCTAAAAGAAAAGAGAAAGAGTTATTACTACCATTTATATTTTTTCTCCTAATCCAAATGATTTATATAGCACATTTAACAAACAAAGCAATTTCCAAAGTACTGCACAGACAAACACAATATGATGACAACAAAAGGTAAATTGCTAAAAAAAAAAAAAATCATCATACCAGTTCCAAAACAATAAAACCAGTAAAAATCATAAAATAGCAATAAATAAGTAAAATAAATAAAATACACTATATTATTATTTTATATTGTGATGTGTGAGTCTATTGTGTAGACCTGTCACGATAATTACAATATCCAGTTAAATAGGTTGTAATTTTTTATGTCAGTATTTATCATGTGTACTTTTTCTCTTTGCATACTGGGACATTTTTGGTTATTTTTAGCTATAAGATTTGAGCCAAAGAAGCTTGAGTCACTTCTATGACTCATTACAGATGCAAAATACAGATGCAAAGTTAAGTAAGCAGAGTCTGATTCTGCTGTTTATTTACTGCGGCTCATGTTTTTTTGTAATAATACTGTAGATTTAGAATAGTTTTTGTGGTTTAAATCTGCTCTTGGGTTTTTGCGTCAGTGGTATAAACGGGTTTCCATATTATTGTTTATCGTCTTTTCCTTATTTCAGCAATATATCGTATTTCAAATGCTGTTATTGTGACAGGCCTAGTATTGTGGCTCATCAAACAAGTGAATGTGTCCTCAAAACTGAAATACTAGTACGAGAATGGGAGTAAGATGGCGCTTTTTAAAGCTTTGCCAGCATAGACTATAATAAATAAAAGATAAAACAGCATGTAAATAAAGCTCGAAACATGTATAACTGGTTGTGTGGCTGGAAATCTGTTGTGAATCATTTAATGTATGCAGATGACATGGTTGTTTTTAGTTCAAGCACCCTTGGTCTCCAGCAGCTACTCAACATCTGCTCAGCTTACAGTGTGGAGCGCAATATAGAGTATAATGCAACCAAGATTATAGTCATGATCTGTAGGAGCAAAGAAAATGAGCACATCAGATATCCTGACTTTTGCTTGTTGAATGTTGAGTTGACTGTTAAAAGAAAAATTAAATATCTTGGGCATATCATCACTGTGGACATGGCAGACGATGATGATGATGATGATGTATAGACAGTATAGAATGCTCTAAGTTCAGGCAAATACTCTTATGCGTATGTTTGGTTCTTGTATGTGAAGTTAAATTATGTAAAGTCAAAGTCAAATTATGTAAAGTTCTTATTGTTTAATCACATTGTACACTGTTGTACACAGCCCCCCTCTGGATTAATTACAAAAAAGCCAGTTTGCAAAGACTGCAAGTGGCCTACAATGACACTTTGCGGGTGCTTTTGAAGAGGCCACAATGAACAAGTGCGAATGAGATGTTTGTTACGGCACGAGTGAACACTCTGCAAGCTCTATTAAGAATTTTATTGTACAGTTTTATTTGCAGGCTGAACAAATCGGACAGTGAAATAATAATGTCACTCACAAATATGAGATTCAGTGCAATTAGATGTCAGTCCAGTATGTGGAGACACTGGGATGGCTCGTATTTAAAAGTAACGTGGCCGTCAATCAACCTGTTACCAATACTAGTAGCAGCGACCTCGGATAAAGAAACTGACAAACTGTTCTGTTATAACGTTCATATTTACATTTACAGATGAAATAGAGAAATTAAGGAGTAAAGCTGGTTAACATGAATATTTTAAGATCAAATAGACAAGTCTGACAGCTGCAATTACAGAAAGAAATGACACAGTTTTTCAATAGAAGTCAATTGGAACCAGACCTTGAAGGAACCACTTAACGCCCCATGCATACTTCATATTTGGAACGCGGCTATGTCCATTTATATATACAGTACAGTCTGTTATTGCCAGAGAAATGCAAACTCATGCCAGCCCAGAAACACTCCCCACACAAACACATTCTTTATATGGGATCTTAAGGGATGAAATTGGTAAGTTACAACTAAATCAGGAAACATCAAGATTTTATAATTATTCACTGTGTAACTTTTCTAGAGGAGGGTCTGCCAACTGCTTGTCTCCATGGAGATGCTATTGTTTTATTTGGAAAGTCCCAGTATAGCATTAAACGTATCCATCTCGCATTTGACCTTAAAATGACCTAAAAACTTGCATTCTTAGTGGAAGTGGGCTCGCCTCTCCACAGATCTGACACGGAACTTGGCCCTGTGATTTCAGCTGCTGTCTCCGTGGACTTAAATACACGTAATGGCATACTGTGGAACATTCAAAACGATATCTACATGTTAAGAAGCAGACACCAGAAAAGTTACACACGCTTTAATATGTGACCACATTTGGAGAATATGAAATACAAATGCTGACTTGTGCTTGTAACATTTTCACTATCATCACTCTTTCCCTCTTTGACCTGTTTTATAATCACAGAAAAATCTCAAAATTTCTTCTCATGAATTCACCAAAGTTAACAGTTGTGGTTGTAAAATTTTTCCCAATTACGTAAGTGGATTTTAACGGCATTTTCACACATATAAATGCCACATCTTGTAGCGAAGACAAGATGGCTGCATATTTGTGAAGCCACCGCTGTATCGAGTCCAATAATTCACATCTAACCTCGGGTGAACTCACAGCGCGCACACACGCACAAACACACGCACAAACACTGAGCCAAGACATTGATTTGTAACTGGTGAATACTTGAGAGATCTGTGGTCACAGTCGTCAACAGTGGTATGTCATATTCTGTGTTACTAATAGGCAAAAGTAAAAGGAAAAGGGTAACTACTATTTTGAAGACTTGGTGTTTAGTTTTTTCTTGTAGAGTGCTTTTCCAGACGCTAAAAGTTGTTTCCAATTTTGTGCATAACTCTTTCACTCCACACTCACTGTGATAATAAGTCACTGCTGTAGCCAGGTGGGTAGACTAACCAAAAATGCAGTCTCTTAAAAGTCTTGTACTCTTAAAGGTGCACTGTGTAACTTTTTGGTTGTTTTCTATGGATATGTCATTTATAAACAGCCCGACTTTACATTTATTTAATTATAGGTGGTTTTATATGGTCAGGCTGGTGCCACCTAGTACCTCTGCCCAATTTCATTTCTCTCCAGAGACTAGGTCAGGAATCAAAATACACCAGATGGTTCGCAAAAACCCTCAGGAAGTGCGAGTTCGGGCACCAGCCAATCACAAAGAGATCGAGGATTTAAAGCTGGAACAAAGAGAATGTTTGGTGAATTTTATCAAGGAGAAAGACGTTATTGCCCTTCTTCCTACGGGATTTGGGAAAAGCTTAATATTCCAGTTAGCCCCGTTAGCGGCGCGTTACATACGTCATGACCAAATAGCAGCGATTGGTTAAATAAAAAAAAGCACCCGCCTACCATCGAGCGAACAAATCCTAACGCTGCAAGGTCAGACAAGTATTTTGTGGAAAAGTTACACAATGCACCTTCAAGTATGAGTAATGCTACTTCATATTACTCAAGTAGAAGTACTGAGCAGCGGTTCAAGAAATTACTCAAGTGCTCGAGTAAAACTGTACTTGGAAAAACGACTACTCACGTAAAAGCGACTTAATGAGTAAACATTTGGTTTATAATGAAGTTAATGATGTGATTGGAAGGACTAAACCTTAAAGATGCATCGTGAAACTTTTCTGGTGGAGCGTCCATCAAAAGCTTTTCTCCAAGAGATGTTTTATCAGTATGGCATTAAACCTTTCTAACTTCATGGAGACCAAACCAGACCAAGTTACAGGTCAGATCTGTGGAGAGGCGACCCCGCTCACACTCACAATGTCTGTTTTTCTAGGTATTTTCGAGCTATAAAACCACCTGTAACTGAATAAATGTAAAGTAGAAGTGTTTAATGTCATACTGTGGAACATTCCAGACTAAGCAATAACATCTCCATGGAGAAAAGCATTTGACAGACCCTCCACCAGAGAAGTTACGCAATGCACCTTCAAAGCTCTACTGCGGAACCAAACCAGACCAAAGCTATAACACCACCTGTATTTGTACATGTAAGGCAGAGCTGTTTAATGCCCTACTGTGGAACATTTCAGGCAGAGCAAAGACATATCCAAAGAAACAAGAAGGTGGCGAACCCCCAACCAAACCTCTCAATCTCACGTTCATTAAATTGCTGTTTTTATAGCTCAAAATTACCTTGAAAAACACACATTCTTACTAGGTCACATTCCAGGCAAAGCATCAAAACATCGTGGAGCCAGAGGTTACAATTCAGAAAGTTGTCAATTCAGTGAAATTCTTTTCCTTGGATTTGATGGTTTCACTTAGCCACATGTGTCACTTGTACGTTTGAAGTATTAATGATGGAGTTTTGGCACTCACAGCTTCGGCCTGAGAACAAAAACAATTCTATTCCCATTGTCTGGTTTGGTATCGCCGGTGGCCTGCTGAGAAACGTCACTGTGTAGCTTTGAACTAGCTCAATTAGCCTGTCACCGCTCTCATAAAAAACAGGTTGAGGGAGTGAGTGCGAGGGCGCTTAATACTGTTATTGAAAGGATTCATTCGTCGCCGCGGGAGACGAGATGAGGCCAGACCATCAGGAAACCACATGCACACGAGGCACGCAGACAAATATGCAGCCATCTTTAAATTTGACAGTTGTTTTAGCTGCTGCTGCTGCATGAGGGCTGCCTGGAGACAAAGCGTGAATGAGTATATAAAAGAAGAAGGGCAAAGGTCAGAGGTCAGCCTACAGTGTTTAACATGAATACAGAAGTAAAGACTTTCCCCATTCACACTCAAAAGTGACTGCTTAAAGGTGCAGTTAACTGATTTTTACTGCTTTCATTAAAGGGTCCATGTTACGCTATTTTCTGCTCTACGTTATAATGTTTCCTCATCCTTTTGTTTCATTCACACTTCTCAATTATTTCTGTCACGAAGAAGAAAACATTTTGCGCACCCCCACTCCACAGAACCACTACCAAATGTGGACAAATTACACTTTAGCAGCC